CTTGTCACTGGTGTTTTATTCAGATAATTATATCAGTTGCGAATCATTTAAGGTTTTGCACTATCACCCTGGGGTATGCAATCGATGGAAATCAATGATCGAAAAACCAATCGATCAATCGATATCAATCAATAAAATTAGTTAATTGGTATCGATTGATATCGGTCAATCGATGATCAATCGATAACCACACAAAAACCGTTCATCGATTGCTGTCGATTGGCACAGCAACCTCGAACCTGTCCGATCATCTGCCATTTTTAGGAAGCCCAGGGGACGAAACTGTTAAAATGATTCCGACCCAGTCTTCTCAACGTAAAGAATATAGCCCATTGCACGTGTACTCCAATTACCCACTTGCCCGTCCTTGCCTTTCTGTGTCATGATATATATCTATGCAAGAAGTCCTGGAAGAGGCTTTACTGAATATAAGGTGCATTGTCACATTGTCACTCGTAGTGAATTCAAGTTAAACTGGAGCAAGAAGTTGCAATAAAATCTCTTCTAGATGGAAAAGATGTATTAGCGGTGTTGCCCACAGGACACAGCAAAAGCCTCATATTTCAAATGTTTGTTCGTGTCAAGGACTGTGTAAAATGGGGTTGACTAGCCTACACGACTTCTATGGTTCGTGGCATTTGTACATTTACCGTTCTCTGTTCGGTCACTCAACCTTTTTTTTGTAGCTTCACTTGTGTTTATGAAGGGCAGTTCATGTTGTGTAATAAGGAGGAATTTTAAGTAGAGTTGAGCCATTAGATCGTGCAATCGTGCAAAATTTTTATAGGTCATAGGTCTGCATGGTTTCCGCTGTNGTTTATGAAGGGCAGTTCATGTTGTGTAATAAGGAGGAATTTTAAGTAGAGTTGAGCCATTAGATCGTGCAATCGTGCAAAATTTTTATAGGTCATAGGTCTGCATGGTTTCCGCTGTTGTCATCATAGACTTTGACACCTCTGTAATTTGCCATGTGTTTATGCATTGTTTAGGCTCATTTCTATTGCAAGATATGCTTTTAAGTCTCCGCGAATTTGCTTTTGAGGGACAAAATATGAAATTCACCGTGAAAATGTTGCTTACTTGCATTCTATATTGAGATGCTGGGCCCGGCTGTGATCAGAACTGTTTGCAAGTACAGTAGGTAGATCCTTATCACGGGTATCATATTTGTTCTTGTGCTATTTTCTTTGGAGACGCTGCAACTTTACTTCAAGAAAGCTATACGTGGAGTTGCAGTAGTGGCAACTACAGATGTACAGAGCATTCTAGATAAACCGGCAACTGATGAGATCCACATGGAGGATCGAAACCATGGTCTTGCCTGAACTAAGTCGAGCAATGGC